TGAATTTCGGTTTTAGCTATAGTACCTTTTTTTTATACAATGAGCGTTTCATCACATTGGCCACTGTACGATAGGAGGCACTGTTCAGACCAGCGGTCCAACAAGACTATCCGCGCGTTGATCGATTGCACCTAATCCCTTAAGTGGTCTTAAACTTTTTAATGTAAAGCGGAATGTCAACCTGCAACACTCTCCCCCTCCGATCACGGCCGGACCAGCGGCATCAATGCCCGACAGTTTACGTCATCTCATCTTGTGGTTACACTGATACGCGAACACAAGGTCCCATCGGCCATAATTCCAGTATTATGTTCACAACGCACAACATTGCCGTCGGAGATTTTGCTGCTATGTTACTGCTATGTTGCTGACATGCAGACATACGGAACCACGTTAATTGCCGGTTGACGCTCGGCATCCAAAACAGACGAACTCAGCAGAGAAGGCACCCGGCTGCAGAACCTGGCTGTCTTGGACGGAGTTTCCGCGATTTTCATAACGTCGTCAACGTCGACAAATCCACTGTGGACGCATCGTTCCGCCTGGTCCGCGTGGTTCCGCGTGGGTTCCGCAATCCGGAGATGGCCATCTTCGACCAGTGTACGTTGCGCCGCTGACACTGCTCCGGAACTTCGCTGTTTCCACCGGCTTCGTTTGCTCGTTTGATAAAATTGGTGGTAAAAACATCAATGAAAATTAAATGTTCTGCACGTTTCGACTGAGAGACGTAATTACAGGCGGATTTGACTGCGGCTGGAGCCCAATCAGGTCAACAAACATTTATTAGACAACGTGTACGACGTGCTCAAAAAACGAAACCGAAGGAAGATCAGTCGGGAGGGCGGAAGCTTTCTCCCGTCCGCCTGGAGAAGTAGCAAAACGTCTCCTTCCTCCCTTCTCGTGTCCGCTTGGGGGCAAGTCCATAGAAGGGAGGAAAACGTGCGGTTGTTACATTCTTCCTCCATTTTTTCTGAGAGTGCGATGGGAATACCGAGGACCGCTCACTTTCCTGAGCGTTTCGAAGCGGCTGCAATGTATGGAACTTTTCCCGCTAGTTTATTATATTAACTCTCCGACTATTTTGATTTTTTTCGTGCCTTACATAGCCCACATAGGACACGTATGAATCTTACGCCTGCTAATTAGAAAGCTGCATTGGTTTGATTCTTCCGTTGAGACCAACGCTATGAATGCGCTAGTTCGGGGTCATGAGTGCCTCTAATAAGGACCTCCTTTGAGTGGAGCTTTTGTTCTTGGTTTCCGCATAGTTCATTTATATTTTTAAAACACGACTGCATGTTGTAAGCATAGTAGGCGTTTCTGAATCACAAGCTCTTGTTTTTTGTCGGTCTTAAAATTTTTATTTTTAAAGAATTATGCTAAAACTGAAACTACAGTTTCGGAATGTGGTGATAGTATTGGACATCCATTAGGAGGACAATGACAAGTTCACTTTGAACAGCCATGCATACAGTTTGGTTGTGTCGCGCGAACTGTGTAGACGTGATTGTTTTCCCCTCGAAGTCGAGTGTCTCAGCGCGATTGTATGCAAGAAGGAGCTTATGGGTTACACCAAAAGGACAAAACCTAGGCCAGTGTTGCGTCAAACACCCCTCATTCACTATGGCACCCCTAAACACCTCATTTTAATACGTTTTTTCTTTTTTTTTAGTAATGATGGCTTTGTATATTAGGATCTTTTTTGTTTCGACTATAAATAAAGCGATGTATTTTCCCCTAAGGCAATATAATTAGTTCGTTTCGGTTCGAACCTCGAACGTTATGGCTCTCTACATATTCTTCAATATACTGGAAAAGCGGACGCATATTAGGCACCTAGGTGCAGCGAATCATTGACATTTGAAATTTATGCTTCTTGCGATTTACAAAATTCCGTTGACATGCGGGATGGTAAAGGGTATGCGTGAAACTTATACTCGCACAAAAGAAATGAATGCGTGAACTTCTATCGTCTTTGCCATCAACCTCAGGAGGGCACTAACCTTTTAACTGTTCAGATTTCCATTGTCTTAATGCTTCATCAACAGATGGCTCATTCCGAGCTGCCGAAGTCAGATATCATAAAACATGCTACAGGAATGTGCAATAAAGGCAGGGCCTCCGCAGTTTTTCCAGCTAGGCTTCAATTTGTTTACTTATAAAAATTGGGAGAATATATGCACATGATGATTTTTCACTTCTCGCTATGAGTGTTTGCTACGACAAGGGTTGGCGCGGAGACGATATCTTAAAAGAAAAGTTTAGTTGTTTATCGGTGCTTCTCCGGACTAACATTTTATCTTTCCGTCGTTCTTTCCCGCTCTGTTGTTATGTAATTGAGTTCCAACGGTCTACAGGGTGATTTAAGGAGACGCCAGGCTCTTTAAATCCACCGCAAAATTCGGTTTTTAACCTATCGCGCTACGACTTTGTGCAGCGTTGCCCACAGATGGTGTATTTCTTTGGTGAAATTTGCAAAGAGCAAACTTACCCGAGGAAAAAATAAAGAAAGAAAAAGGCTTAGCTCATATGGAAACGCAGCGACGCCACCGGTCTTCAAACAACACGGCGTCGTTCCGCACGGGAGACAAGAGATGGCGCAACGAACGCCGCCAACGAACGAGCATACGGCGCCGAGAGCCGGCGTCTTAGCAGACAATCTTTTCGACTCAGAAGCGGCGTGCGTTCCGCAGACGGCGACAGTCGCAAAAACAAAAACAGGCGCGGTAACAACAAGGAACTGCAGTTCCTTGTCTGCTAAAAACGCCGGCTCTCGGCGTCGTATGCTCGTTCGTTGACGGCAGTTGGCGTCGCGACCGCTTGCGCCATCTCTTGTCTCCCGTGCGAAACGGTACCGTGTTGTTGTTTGAATACCGGTGGCGTCGCTACGTTTCCATAGGAGCTAACCCTTTTTCTTTCTTTACTTTTTCCTCAGGTAAGTTCGCTCTTTGCAAATTTCGCAAAAAAAAAAAAATGCACCATCGGTGGGCAATTTGGCGCAAACTCGTAGGGCGATAGGTTAAGAAACCGAATTTTGTGGTCGATTTAAAGAGCCTGGCGTCTCCTTGAATCACCCTGTATTTTGCACCTAGGTGCTGAGGGCTATTTTGAATCGAGAGCAAAATTAAACTACGCCTTTCAGTTGTAGCTGTCTTGACGTTTCTTGTAGCTTCTTCTAGAACAAACAACACTCAAAATAGTTCACAATATTGCGACATAAAAAAACAAAAATTATGTGTGACCATTTTTTAAGACTGTGTCATGGTTAAGTAAGTTCAATGTATAAAACATTTGAGTATTGTTTTAAGCTACGTGACGTGAAAGACACAGGATATCTGCTCTGAGCGAAAGAGTACATGTCGAAAGTCATAATATTAAACTTTAGTATTGAGCTGTTCTTAGTGAGTCGTACTCCTGACTGAGTTGCCTACAAGAAGACGTCAGCAATCTTTTTTTTTTCTTACATTCTTCTAACAAAATTTTCATGTATTGGCTGTAGAAACATGAGAAGACATTTCTGTTTAAATACGTCGGTGTCCTCTGACACGAGGTCGTTACTATAGCTCCAGTATTTATGTTATTAGCGTATGGATTTGTATATGCGAAATTGGTAAGTACTTTATTTTACTTTGTCCTACAGTATATACCCTGGTAGCAGTCATCAAGCCCACAGGCATAACAGATTAATTTATGTGAATAAAATATGATACTATGCTTATATAATATCACGCGATAGGTTAGTTATTCTCAATATTTCCTGTCAGGCATTCTCAAAGCCGTAGTTTATTATATATTGTGAGCTGTTATAATTTTTTATCTGTAGACCAGACCCTTATTTCTTTCCTACTGATTACTGAAATGAATGTTTTTCTTTACATTTTTGTGTCTTACCCTTGCTTGGAAAAAAAAAATGACTTTTTTAGTATAGAGTATGTGAAGTATATCGGCGGACAATATGAGCAGAACCACCTTATCCGGCCTTTTTTTTGTGTCTGCGATCCCCACCAGCTTTGTTGACCCTCAATCTGTCAAGTATATAGGGAAATGTAGGGTACCTATTCCTCGCATTTCAGTTGTAGTTCGGACCAGCTTGGGCTCAAAAACTTTTAGGAACACCAGAGGAGCCAAATGACTTTTTCAGGTCGTATTGCCTGAAATCTGAACTTCAATATGATGATGTTTAGCTAAATATCTTTCCAAGCCTCAAGACCTTTAAAGACTGAGGAAGCTCCTGTAACCCACGGGAAAAAAAATGTAGAGTGGAATTAAGAATTATAGTATGGTTAAACATTTATTGCGCGTGTCGAAACACTATTTCGGAGAACTAAAATTAAACTTCGAAATCCTCAGCAGCGACAAGAGAAAAAAAGCGGACTAAGGAATTTGGTATTGCTTTCCAGTGTTACATGAAATTAGTGGTCGTGGTGGGAGTTCCCTATTTTATTCCGCTGCATATTAATGTGGTTTTATCCTCTTTTTGAGTTCTTTAGCTTATTATGAAATGATGAATATAAGTAGCGCCAGAGAGCACTCGGCCGATCAATATAATTTCAAATCAGCGACTAAGGGAACGAGTTTTAAATCGGCTTTAAATGATGTAGCGAGCGACCATTAAAGTAGTTTATTTAGAATCACTGACTAATTGAGCAACGAGGTGTGTGGCATCTTCTGTTCAAACATATTGTCTCGTGATAGGCTGTCAGGCGTCCTTTTCGGATGATTCCGCAATCTTATTGGCTGTGGAGCGATAATGAGATGCACGGAACTTGCCAAGCCCTGCGTTTCTTACCTTGTCAGTGACTGTGGAAGGAAGGCGGTTTCGTACAAAACAAAACACTTTGCACTTTTCAAAATAGTTTGGTACTTTCTTCTGGCTTGTGCGAACACGGAGCGTACTGGTAAACGAAGTGAAATAGGTGGCGCGCTTTTGTCGTCTAACCTTGAAAGTAATTATTTATCTATATGTTGTCGGCAAGGACAGGCTCGTACAGGAGAGGCATACATGATTTTAATACCTTGTGGTCATCAATGCGTATTTATTTCGGAATTTAAGCACTTTCACAAGTCTTGCGGAGCCCAGTGGCGTAGACAAAGGCCTGTTCAGCACTCAAGCGGGGGAGTCGTCTTAGCTGGCGTAGCTGGCGTAGCTGGCGTAGCTGTCGTAGCTGGCGTAGTTGTCGTAGTTGGCGTAGTTGGCGTAGTTGGCGTAGTTGGCGTAGTTGGCGTAGTTGGCATGGCTAGTGGAATATAAAAACGTGGGCGGTGAAATAGAACTTCAGAGTTTATCTTAAATACTACTGATATTGAAATTTAAGAAGGAAACCTAAGAGAGCAGAAAACTATTTTAACCGAAATAACGCTATGACCTCAGTTCTAAACGTTTAGCTTTATTATTTCTACCGGAATCGTGATAATTGAATCGTTTAAACTAATTTCTTATGCAAATGTTGTACGACATATTTTGATCGTATTTTTATATAAATTTCGAGTTATAAAAAGAAATGACGATGTTTTGGAAGAAAAGCAAAACCAAAGATGCTTGTTGCTTGCTATACGATATGGCGTCGTAATATGGAAAAGAAAGACACACGATGAGGCAAGAAAAAACGAATGAATTTAAGATTTAATACAGCGAACTTGTGCCAGAAATAATAAAGTAAAGGTCGTTTACAATTTTCTTTAATGCCGAATTAGAGCTCAGCTTTTGAGGAGTAGGAGGGGAAGCTACAGAGGGAAGTGTCACGTGTGACGTCACGAACGTCACGAGGTTAAAGTTTTCCCGCTAAATTTAGCGGAAACATTTTCTTGCTAACTTTAGCGGAAATATTTACCACCAAATTTAGAGGCAAAACTTTTCACTCGTGACGTCACATCACGTGTGACGTCATTATAAGAAATGTCCCACAATGCAACACGCGGTTACGCCGACGGCGACGGCAACGCCGCTCAAGCCGGAAACGGACGCCTAACGCCTCGTTCACATTTTCGAACCGGCTTCCGGATCCGCGAGAATTCTGACCCACGGCGACGAAAGCAGGCAGAATTCCCGGCGGAGAGCAAGATCGCTCTGGGACCAATTTCGAACGCCGGAAAAAAGTTTTCTCTCGCCGCAAGCCAATCAGAACGCACGGGCGAAGTGGCGCTTGTTGACGTCAGATCCCCGCTGACGAGCTGACGACGATGGCGAGGAGGCACGCGCGGCCAAAGAGGAAGTTTGGGAGCTCTCGTCAGCTCTCGTCTGTTCGGGAAACCGCGAGACGCTCGAGCCGCGCACTGCGCAGGCGGCAACAAATGTGAACGGCCCGATCTTTTTTTCGGCGAGCGAATGCAGTCGGCGTCGAGTGCCTATTTCACAGGTGTGAACGAGCCATAAGAGCTGCGCTATAAAAAGAACAACACACTTCGAGAAAGCACCAAGGGGAGGAAGTGGCCGACAATAACGAAAAAAAAAAAAAAAAAAGGAGGCAGTGTCCGAGTGGGCTAACGCGTCTCAGCCGTGGAGCGAAAGCTTGCAATAAGAGCCTCCTGGGTTCGATCCCCGCCGCCCCCGCCCGTGTCGATCTGGATGAGTTTCGTACCGGCACGCGTTCGTGTGATCACTACAGCGTGATTCACGTTAAAAACCCCAGGTTAGCTGTTGTACTGCACTGGCTAAATTTCTCATCTACAGCTAACAGACGGATTACCCGTTGAGGCGCATCTCCATCAAGGCTGTATAAACATACAGAGCAAACCAATTTTTTTTTTCCGAGAAAGCACCAGAGAGCGTCGACGGCGGCAGCAGCTAGCTACGGTGAGTCGGCGCAACAACTCAATATGGCGAGAGAGAATCAGTGAACGAATCAGAAATACGACGCTCGGCTATTTATCTACAATGCTCGTCATCTCGAATATTCGATTTGAAAGGTTAAAAAGCGCAACACAACAAGGACAATGAAGACACGAAGACGACAGGACGGGCGCTACCTCTTCGTGTCTTCATTGTCCTTGTTGTGTTGCGCTTTTTAAGCTTTTAAATCAGTATGAACCAACTCGCCCAAACACAAGTTTTAATTCGAATATTCGACCGACCCAGAATGTCCGGGAAAGAGCTTTGGCGAAACTGACCATGCAAGGTCATTCTGGCTTCTTTATCTTTTACGCTCGGCATAAGAGTATACAATAATCTTCTAGATTAACTGAGAAGCGTATCTTCTCTATCATATGCGCGGCATTACTCCCCCCTATAAGAAGCACATCGCCCCAATCACGGTGGCCCCGGTGCAAACGTCCGCAGTCCTACCGAGAGTAGAACGGCTTGAGTCGAACGACGTGGAACGCCTCGAGTCGTGATCGGCCTCGTGATGATGTTAGCACCCCGTCCGGCACCCCTTTGTAGTTGAGCTACCCTAGGCAACGAAGTGTCTTGTACGGTTAGAAGCACCGTTTCAGCAGTTTTTCGCTGTGGCCGCAGCGACGAATAGGTGTCGAAAAACACACACCCTGTCTCCGGGCAGGAAATGAGCACTCGACGACGAAAGTTGTAGCAGCCAGCGTCGACACGCTGCTGGTCTTGAATCCCGAGTCGGTCGAGCTGGCGGACTTCTTCGGCCTGTTGAGCCGTCTCCCTAGGAGTCGTCAGTCCAATCGTCAGCTGGCTCGTGGGGCAGCATCGCTTCCAGCATGGTCGTTACTTTCCGACCAAGTACCAGCTGGAAAGGTGTAACTCCAGTGGTCTCTTGAACTGCCGTGATGTAGACAAACGTAAGATAGGGCAAGGCCTCGTCCCACGTCTTGTGCTCCACGTCGACGTACATAGCGATCATGTCGGCGATGGCCTTGTTTAGCCGTTCCGTCAGCCCGTTCTTCAGCGGATGGTCAACCGCAGTTCGACGATGGCTGGTGTGGCCGAGCCGGAGGATTTCTTGAGTTAGCTGTGGCAAAAACGACGACCCTTGATCTGTAATCTGTACTTCGCGAGCGCAGTGGCTGAAGACAATGGATTCAACGAAAAAGTTGGCGACTTCCACTGCAGTACCCGATGGAAGCGCTTTCGTCTCGGCATACCTAGTGAGGTAATCGGTCGTGACGATGATCCACCGGTGTCCTTGCGTCGATGGTGGGTACGGTCCAAGCATATCCCTTCCGATCTGCTGGAACGGCGTAGTCGGAAGAGTAATCGGCTGCAGGAGTACTGCCGGCTTCTTCGGTGGTTTCTTCCGTCATTGGCATTCGTGGCACCATCGGACGTAAAGGTGGACAGTCTTCGAGAGCTTGGGCCAGTTATATGTTTTTCGAATTCGTGCAGGTGTTCTACTGTAGCCCAGGGGCCCCGCCGTCGGGTCGTAGTGGCACGCTTGGAAGACTTCCGCTTGAAGGCTCGCAGGGATAACCAGCAGCTACGTCGAGTTGGTGCCGCCGACATTTTCTCTGTACAGTACACTTTTTCGAACAGCGATGTTGTCAGGGCTCGTGCGAAGACACGTGGAATCGCACTCCCTCGTCACTCCAGATGCTCGATGAGTGCACGCAGTTCAGGATTGTTTCGTTGAAGTGCTGCCAGGTTGTTCACGGTCACCGCGCCAACAAGACGGTCGTTGTCGTCGCTGTCGTCGGCGCGCTAAGACGCCAACTCGACGGGTGTCCTGGACAAACAATCGGCGTCGCTGTGCTTGCGGCCGGACTTGTAGACCACACACATGTCGAATTCTTGAAATCGAAGATTCCACCGCGCGAGGCGTCCTGATGGATTCTTCAGGTTTACGAGCGGTCAAAGGAGTGATGGTCTGTGACCACTCGAAACGGGTTTCTGTACGGGTATATATGCGGGCAGAACTTGCCTATCGCCCAGACGACGGAGAGGAATTCCTTCACGGCCGCTGAGTAATTGCTCTCTGCCTTGGAGAGCGTCCGACTGCCGTAGGAAATTACTATTTCTGTGCCGTCTGCACTTGAACGAGCACGGCGTTAAGTCCTGTATTACTTGCGTCCTTGTGAATTTCGGTGGCTGCAAATTGGTCGATGTGGCCGAGAATCGGACGCGCCTCGAGTCTTCGTTTGAGATTGTCTAAGGTTCACTGTCGTTCTTCTGTCCACTCGAACTTTACGGCACCCTTCGTAAAGTACGTCAGAATCGCGAAAAAGTTTGCGAAGTCCCGAACGAAGTGTCCATCGTAGCCGCAATGCCCAAGAAATCTTCAGACGGCGTTCTTGTCAGTTGGGCGGAGAAACTCGACAACGGCAGTGGCCTTCGCAGGTTAAAGCCGTACACCTTCGCTGCTCACGACGTGGCTTAGAAACTGTAGTTCACCATAGGCGAACCGGCACCTTTTCGCCTTGAGTGTCAGTCCGGCAATCTTGATGGCTCAAAGCACGGCCCGAAGACGCCAAAAGTGTTCGTCAAAGTAGATTAAAATCCAACGACGTCGTCGCGGTAGACCAGATAGCTTTGCTATTTAAGGCCAATCAGCACGGCGTTCATAACGTGCTGAAATATTGTCGGTGCTCTGCATAGTCCGAAAGGCATTACTTTAAATTCCTACAGTTTGTCCGGCGTAACGAGCTGTCTTCTCGCGATCTCGTTCGTCAACTTCGATCTGCCAGTAGCCGCTCTTCAAGTCCACTGGAGAAAAGTGTAGGGCGTGGTGCTGCCGATCTATGGTGTCGTCGATTCCGGGAACGGGGTAGACATCTCTCTTCGTCATGGCATTTAGTCGACGGTGGTGTACGCAGAACCTCAGTGTTCCGTCTTCTTTACATGGACAACTGGGGACTCCCATGGACTCTTTGAAAGCTGGATAATGTCGTCGCCGAGCATTTCCAGGACCTGTTTCTGTGTCACGTTCCTCTGTTTTAAAGAGACGCTGTTCGGCGACTGGGGAGTACAGGCAGTGCGTCGTCGTTAGTAACGATACGGTGTTTTGCTAACGTCGTTTTTCGCACCCTTGATGACGTCGCGAAACACTCGCAATACTCGCTGAGAAGTTCAACTAGCCGTCGCCGTTTTAAAGCGGGCAGCTCGGTGTCGACGTCGAGCCGAGAACGCGACGTGCTGTTAGACTGGGACGATGCAGGTTTCTTGGAAATTACAGTAATGGTGACTGACGATTGAAGCTGTTCGACGTAGACCACGGCAGTATCCTTTGGTAGGTGCTGCAACTCCCGTCGAACGTTCGTCAACAGAACAGTTATACGTCCTTCTTAGAAATCCGCAGTGCCTCGTGCGACGCCAATATCTCTTCCCATGTGCAGTTGAACG